GTCGATCACTCAAATTACATAGTAAAAAATTTCCCCCCCTGATCTGCGTGACAAATCGTGTGACTGTTATATAGATAGTCTAAATGTTACGTATTACATACGTACGTACGTACGTATGTACATAAATAAAAGATTAATTTGGAATAAATCATCGAGTTATACAATATAAAAATTATTTATATGGATAGTTTAAACATTACGCATCATGTGAATCTAACACTAAATGTTACTGTTACACAGGCACAATGTGAAACTATAGTTTTTGGTTTAATATAGTAATAGATGAATTTAAATAGATTTTTAAATTCTAGATAATAAATATTATTTATACTTATATACTAAATTAATGCAGATAAAATTAAATAGTGAGAGAAGATAGATCTAATAAGAAGTGGAATCAATTTTTGTTAGTAAATTAAAAACAGAATAATCTTAGCAACGGAGAATCAGGTATGCGAAAAAAAACATGAAAACAAAAAATTTATATTGTTACACAAAGATCACTTTTTTGGATGTCAATTGATTTGCACGACCCCTCTAGACCGTCAATTTAATAGTTACCCCACTTTAGCGATCCCCCAAAAAGGAAATCGAAAAATGGGTTTGATCCTGATTGGCCATAACCTTTTTAGAGGTTTGTATTACTCATGCAAATAAGTACGTACGTACGTACCACTATAAAATGCGCCACACATCTCATGCATCCCCGAATCAATATTTTTTCCATGTTCTGGTTACACTACATTATGCATATCATTATTTTCTGTTTTCTCGATATAAATATGAATATCTGCTCTATCATTTATCGTCTATTACAATAGCAATATTTGTGTGTGCTCAACGGTCTATTATAAAATAATATGAAAGAAAATAAAGTAAAGAAGGAGAAGAAAGAGAATAAAGAACAAAGAGAAAAGAGAGAGAAAAAACAACCACCACCAAAGGTAAAAATCGTGCCTTGTAAATAAATTAAAATATATAAGTCATGATAAAGAAATTAGAAAATAGTTATAATTGCATGTTGATGGCATTATTAATATCTGTTGGGGCATAAAATGAGATTAAAAACTTGGACTTCATGCGAATTCATGATATAGGAGAGTATAGTTTGTATAATTTATGAAATTTGCACATTAAGATTCTATAATCTATTAACCTTGTGCATTAAAGGCCTTTTTGAACTCCTCCATAGCACACTATATTAAGGGCTATTTAGTTTATACATTCTATTAACTTTATGCATTGGCCAAGCATATTGGACGCTCTTTAGGCTTTACACACCAGACGGTATGCGTAACAGGCCCTTTAACCATGGCGCTCATGTCAAGGCTGCTAGGATATATCTGTTAGTTTTTTTCTAAAGATAACGAATCATTCCCTATGCTGGCTCTATATTCAAGAGATTGGGGGCATATAGATACAATCTATGAATTTTGCACATTGAGCTTTTATAAGCTATTAACCTTGTGCACTAAAGGCCTATTCGGGCATTTCAGTAACTATGAACTGTCCATTAACTATGTTAATTACGTTGGAAGCATGCTTATGCTAAAGTAACAAGCACACCGTAACTGATGAATCATTGGTACCACGGTACTGTTTTTGATGAGGTAATTTGTTTTTATCCTATCAGGATCAGTGCCAATGATTCTTTAGGAATGGTATTTTTGTACTAAAGAAAGCATTGGATGCTTATTAGATTTTACAGATGCTTCGACCTTTGTTAAACAATGGATAACGTGACACAAGAAAATCACGTAATGCTAAACGCATCGAGCATCTGGTTTATAATCTATTAGTAATATTCGTAATAATAGGGGCTGTTTAGTTTGTATTCTATTAACTTTGTGCATTATTATTAATCTTGCACATTGCGGCCTATTGTGGAATCTTACGAAACCTTATGGGATATGTGTATAAGCCTATTAACCATAACTATCATGCCGAAGTGTTTGTAGTTTAATTTATATATTAAATTAATTGTCATCAAATTGTATTACTTAAACTATTTATAATTCACATTTTGAGCTTTGTTTTTGTTACTTTAGTTAAACCGATTTTTTATTTTAATACTAATTATAAATACTGGTATTTATATAATTTATTTTAGACAAATGAATTCTTTGACGAATATGAAGTGAAAAATTGGTCGTATGAAATCATATAAAAAATTTCTTTCCAATGAAAACATCAAGATTAAAAACCCAGCTACTCTATGGAAGAGGAATTTGATGTATATTAAGAATCATTCTAAACGATATGAAGTCACGAAAAACAAAATTACTCAACTTTTAAGAGAAGCTACTGAACTCGAAAAGGAAGAATTTATTCTTTTGGAATCTTCTTCTTCATTAGAAGAATTATCTGATGAATTGAAGAGATTCCAAGTAATTCCATTATTTGGAGGCGTATGTATTTTAGCTACCCCAGTAGAACCGTGAAAGATACACCAATCAGATCTCTTCCCTAATATCATTTTAACCTTAACATAAGGTTTTAAGACATTAAAAATATTTGCACATGTTGATTAGCGTAGATCATCTGATTAGTGCATTTCTCGTAACTACCCCAGTATCGCCAACAAAATATTTTCCGATAACGAACTATGACTTAGTATAACGTAACATGATCAAGAAGATCCAAAACAAATGTTCGTTTTCAAAAAAATCTCTTTTAACTCAAAAATTTGCTTAAGAAATCCCTTTTCATGCTCTAACAAAAAAAATTTATTGGACAATTTTACTGTATTTTTATCCTTCTTTAACCCTACCTCACACCAAACCTTAACATAAATGAACTCTAAAGTATTTTGACGGTTTCACGTGATCAGAAAAATTTTGTTGGCGACACTGGAGAAGATATTTCTCATAGCCCTACTGGAGTAGCCTATGTATTATATTTATTATTATTAGAACTTTAAATTTTATAATTTAACATATAAATTTTATCTTTAAATATTAAGAGCAATATAATTTTAGAAAACGACCAAACAATTCAAGAAATAATGCTTCCAATTTTCGAAAATGCAAAGCCATCGTAAGTACAACATATCATAAATTATATATTTGTTTATAATAAAAAACAATAAAATATATAAATACTAAATTTTATTATTATCTTATATACGTATCAGAGATGTAATTAAAATAGGGGTTCTTGATCTAGAAAAACCGATTTTTAAAAAACATCCATATAATTTGGTTGCCGAAAAATTTCGGCAAAATTTGAACAATTTGGTACCGTCATCAGATATTGACATTGAAATAATGAATCGGTTAAATGAACTCCGCGAAATATCAAACATTGAAAAAGCCAATAATTATATAAAGAAATGGCAA